CACCTGCTTTCAGATGGAGCGGCATTTACTACACAGAGCCGTAGTGCACTGACAATTAGGCAATAATTCATTATCACAGATTGAATCGCCTGCGATAATGAACGCGATATGCAGGTGATGGAGATTTACTACTAATCACGAAACCGGCTTTACTGACGAGATGCGCATGACAATCGCATGCGATTAATTACACAGCCCTAATGTCTACTGTTAATATGATCATTTTGACAGCACTGCATGCACAAATTAAGGGTAGAATTGTTATTTTAATATATTTTTCCTATACTTTTTAGTAACAAAAGCATTCCTGTAGATCATGGTGCTAACAATGCTAAGGTCATGGGATCGATTCCCATAGGAATGCATGACAAAATGTATACCTTCAATGTAATGAGAGTAATTTTTTGATAAAAGCATCTGCCAAGTGCATAAATGCAAAGAAATGAATTGCAAGTATAATCAACATTTTTATTGCTTCTTGCATATTTTTTTGTGAGCTTGTCCCAATGCTGTAGCCATAAAAAAAAACTATATAAAGTGCTAACATGACACAAAATACCATTATATCAACAGCAGGCATTGCTCTTGTCTTTTAAACGCATGAGATTTCTCAAACTAAAAAGTGACGCCAATGCTCTCCACGGCAGTTGAACCACCTGGCTGAATAGTTGAGCATGTCTTGACGAATTTGGGTTATCCGCAGTCTGCGCCGTCCTGGGTCTGTTATGGCTGCTGGCTCATCTCCAGGGACTTGGCGAAAGACCGGTACAACAATATTCCCAGCTTGAACACAAAGAGCAGGGCCCCCAATCTGCCCACAGCGTCCGAATGTTGAGCCAACAGGGAGGAGTATGTTGTCTTAACGGCCAACAGGAACTCTGGGCTTTATATAATTAGGACAGATTGCCAAATCACAGAGTGTGTGCTTTTTTGGGGGGCTTTGGGGTTAGTTAGTGATTTGTTTGTGCATGAGGACAAACAGTTGGAAATAAATGAACGGAGCTCGGAGTGTGTGACCGCCTGAGCACATGGACTGCCACGAATCTCGATGAAGGTGAATGCTTCACCATGAATAGAGCAGAAGGAAACAGTAAAAGTTGCTGAAGCCGGCTACCGCCAGCATGTCCTGAGCTGAACCATACATCGTGATATCTTTATCCTCTTTTTTCATATACCACACTATTATTAGTACCTTTATCTAACCATCTCTCATCATGTCTATGGCCAATGGATGTGCACTGCACACCTGTCTATTTTTTTGTTTATCCATTCAAGTAAATGTGCATTTGTCAGCAACTCTGTTCATATTCATCAGTGAACACATTTGTATGCATTAGCATTTTTTTGACATTTATTTGTGTTTGCATGTGTGCGAGAAGACTACTTTTTTTTACACAACTAGTCTGACAATGCATCCTGACCAGACTTGACATAATAAAATTACATTTTGAAAAATAAGTTCTGTTTAGCAGTGATTTTTATCATTTAGCGTTTTTATTGAAGGCAAAAAAACTAGCCCTGGTTAGGATATTGTGTAAATCAATCTCACACTTCTTCAGCCTGTCTCTCTCTCTTCTACACACACACAGTTACTGTCTGACTGAATTCATCCACTCCAGCCAGATCAATAGTTCTCCTCACTCGCTCTCTCTCCCCCATAAACACACACTCACTGCCCTCCGTTCCCTTTATGTAAACAGAGACTGATTAGGTCATTCGGCTGCTTATTTTGAGGGGCTGAGTTGCATCCACTGGAGTCTCTGATATTTACACTGGAGCAAACCCTGAGCTCAACAACACCCTCGATCAAAAAGACAAAACCCTGAGCCTCCACCACCTCTGACCTTTCATTACCCTTCTATCTCTCACCAAACACAGGCGGTGTGAAGATAAAGTTCCCAAGATACAATGTCGTGCTTTGCAGATGGCTGAAAATGCCATGTTTGGAAAGATCAGACAGAAAATATAAAGCAGAACAACCCTTAGTAATATTGATCTAAAGGTGCTGTCACATTTACCACTGAAATTTACCAGGTGAAATTTCAATAGGAATCCGTGCAATCGGGAGTTTCGCATGTGGGTGGAAAAGTTTCCCACTACAATTTCACTTGTGTTCAAGTTGGTCAAAATAAATTCACCACACTGACCAGAACAGAAAGCTGCATGGTTAAAAAGCTCTTCTGTGTGAGCAGCGCTTCATGCATCGCTACACTATTGATGATAGACAATGGACCTTTTTTGCCTGCAAATTTTTGCTAATGTGACCCCACCTTAGTGCTGCGGAACGGAGACTAAGGTGGATTGAATGAGAATACATAAGCAGCAAATGGTGAAGACATAACACATGAGTAAACCTATAAACAAGTTGAGTGCTTTACATTTTAGACACAATACAGCCATTTTGTTAATGTTTCCTCCAAAATTAGCCAAACTGGCTGCAGAAGAAGCAACCAAGCAATGCACAAGTTTACAGCTTGAGTGAATCACATAGTGAAGCATTCTAACACCGTGTCCTAACTACACGACACTGTGACCGCGATAAAAGGTATCTTTTCCATGTTAATCAGAGTTTTTGTCCTAACTAGCCCTGACGGCATCGCGACATGCAAAATTTCTATTTGAGAAACGTTCCGTGACGTCGCGACTGGAACAACAACATACAAACTATATGACAGTAAATAAACTCAGGTGATTATGTTCTTTATTCAAAGTTAAATGTGTCTAATATGAGTTTAAATATCATTTTGTATGACCTTATATTCATACTGAAAGCAATAATAGATTACCTTAGAGCTTGAATATAAATTAAAACAAAGATATGCGTTAAAACTGTGAACTCAATGTGAACAAACAGGTGTATTCCATAAAGATGGTATCATTCACTTAATAATGTTAAAAAGGTTTAATATTTATGAATTAGATCATGAACTTATCCATTGCATTGCGACTTGAGTGCAGTGTGCTTCCAGAGAGAGCCCACCCACACACCCTTTTGATTGGCTATGATATTTGATTGATTCTGTCGCGATGTGGTGTCACGTCACGTTTGGTGTGGACAGCCAAATTGCTTGTCGTGTCGTGTGTAGTTAGGACACGGTGTAAGGCTTTTATAAAAAAAGAAAAATAAAGGGATTTCCTGAAAACACCACATATCCAATCAAATTAGAAGACCGGAACTAAAAAGAGAGAGAGAGAGAGAGAGAGAGAGAGAGAGAGAGAGAGAGAGAGAGAGAGAGAGAGAGAGAGAGAGAGAGAGAGAGAGAGAGAGAGAGAGAGAGAGAGAGAGAGAGAGAGAGAGAGAGAGAGAGAGAGAGAGAGAGAGAGAGAGAGAGAGAGAGAGAGAGAGAGAAAAGTCTGACAAGGTACGTCACAGATGAGGTTTGTGGTCGAGGTACAGGACGAGAGAACAAAACACAATCAGACAGGAAAATTACAGTTTTTCTCTTGTAGATTGAAAAAGGAAGGAAAGAAATACAGAAAGTGGAAATAAGAGAGCGAGATAGGGGAGAATTGGTCTCCGTGCCTGTGGTGCATGAAGTCACTGATTTCACAATTACAAAAGGGAAGATAGAGAGACACAAACAGAGAGAAAGAGAGGAAAAGAGAAAGGCAGCTGTCTGGTGTCTGCACCGCAGCCGCTGTCTCAGCCTCTGTGGGAGATCGACAGGACTCCATCTGTCTGCCAGACACGTCTGCACACCAAGCCTCAAACCATCACATCTGCCTGTCTTTCACTGTCATACAATCATACAAACACACACTAGCTAACTGCGAGACCCAAGTGGCATGATTAGAAAAGCGTAATGAAATGGGAAATGATGAGGAGAAACAGATCGGGTAATGTCACAAGCCTAAATGAGTCAAACTTGCGTCAACAAAATGAGCAGCATGGCTCATTGTACTGTTGATGCATGAATGCTAACCAGTAGGCCACAACATTTTAATTTTAGAAGGAAAATCTAACATCAGATAAATCTAAACTTGGGTGTGGTGTCTAAAAATATTTGTATTCTGACAGTCTCTGGTCAGGTGGTCCCCATCTAGCCATGAGCTTTAACAACTTGCTCTATAGACACAATAACCGGATACAGTGCCTAGGCACCAGACATAAATACAGACATACACAAATTCAAAAGACATCCAAGTAAGTTCTGTAGAATCCTCTCTAGAACACCTGGTATGGCAGCTGTGTGTCAAAAAAAAAAAAATTTGTACATTTGATTATTTATGTTCAAATTTTACTTATTTCTTTTTTCTGTTTTACATTTTTTTTTGGATATTAATTATTTATTTTGGCACACAAAAATGTACAGTTTTGTAGTTTCATTAAGACTTTTGTTAATGCTTTGGAAAACATTAAGTAAAAATTAATTAATAAAATAGGTTATTATCTCTATAGTATAGATCACAGGCATGTTTCAACAGTGGCTAGAATACTCTGTCTAGGCAAACACAGCTCACTAGGTTTTGAAACACAGCCAGTGTCCTTGATGAAGGGGAAGAGGGCTGGTTCTGAACAAGCTGAAGTGCCGTGTGCAGAAGTCTGGCGGTGAAGGTCTGATCATCACCAACATCCACATGGCCACCAGTGGAAACTCTGAGTCACTTGTTCTGGCACTCCAGCATCACAGATGTTTAGAGTGAACATTTCACCCAGTAAACTGATGAGCCTGTCTGCCCTGCTTCCCGTACAGACACACATGCACGTAACGTAGCGATTTCTTGATATGGAAGCCAGCAGATGAATGCGCATTTGTTTCTGTTCTTTATCGGCACGACCCGTGTAAGCTCATCATCTGAGTAATGACCTTTCACGCACGCACATATGTCTGTTTACAGTTCCTTCAAAAGTCGTTTAACACAAAACTGTAAGCACCTGTTTCTTTGACACCGCTTCACTCCTAATCTGTGTTTTTACTGTTTCTGAAACTACATCTATATTTGTTTGAAATAATTTACAGTAATTCAAATAAAGCTGAAATAAAATAAAAAATATTAGATGACGTTAAAATTATTAAATTAAAATTAGTAAAATTACCAAAAATAGGCTATTATTTCAGTTTTAGCTTTGATACTTTTAATAATTTTAATTTAATAATTTTAAGAAATTTAACTTAAATTTATTTTTTATTTCAGTTTTAGTCCAGTTAAAATTATTAAATTAAAATTATCAAAACTAAAACTGAAATAAAAATAAAAATAAAAGCTAAATAGGAATTTAACTAAACTACTAAAATGTAAACTAAAATTTAAATGTGAAAACTAATAAATATAAAAATAAACACTGATTCAAAATGTTAATAAATATTATAATAGTACATAAATATATTTGAACTTCCTATATGTGTTTTAAACCTTCAAATTTTGCTTAATACAATATAAATGAACAACACAGGACTGTCACATTTATCATAATTTATGGTGAAAAACCTCCTGTTTTAGACCATTTAAAACTACATTAAACCTGGAAAATTCCTTACAGCTTAAAATTAAATGATAAAATTCATTGAAAAATAACAGGGCAGCCAAGAAAAATCACAAAAGAAACAGAGAAGGATCAGGCAAAGCGTCAGGGCAGGTGCAAGACGCTGCTAGACAGGGATGTGTCAGGAGCTCGACAGTTAACATGTAAAGAGAAGGTGTCACTGACTCACTCATATTTCCGGGAGTTTGATATCTCACCCTCAGCCGAGCGCAGCAGAGACGATCCCTGGGGGTGTTCAGCGTGTGCGTGTGAATCAATTTCATTAGTGTGTGTTAAGCATAAGTGAGCTGAGTGTTACAGTGTTACTGGCTGTTTGTGTGTCAGGGTTAGGTCAGTCTGCGCAGCAGATGTGACTGTATGACTGACAGACTCAAGGTCTGTTTTAGTACATGAAGTGTGTGTGTTGGGGGGAGGGAGGGCGGAAGCAGGAATGTGGTTTGGGTGCTAGACGAGACACCAGACGGTATTTCCGGCACACTTGCATAAGCACACAGGAGAGACCGGGGCTTTTCTTCCTCACTTAGACAGAACACATGCATTCATTCGCTCGCATCAGCTCTAAACTAAAAATAATTGTGTCTACTGGAACGTTACCATACTGTTAAACCATTAACTGCTGCCACTTGCATTTGAAAAAAAACTCTAACAGCACCAACAGGGGGTCAATCTTTGTCTAACATGAGCATGAACAACAAAAAAAGCTCTGGCTTGGTCAAGGGGGTAATGAGACATAGCTGGTCAATGGGAGTGAAACAATCCAGACCTTTTTTTCCCCACTAGGATGACCTTTCTATAGTTTCTAGTGCACTAGTACAGTTTGTGGAGTTTTGTTTCAAAGGTCACGTCATGAAAGTGGAAGAATCTCCAGTGTTCTGACTTTATGCAATCACGCAATGTGGGCTTTTCCCAATACAATGATTGCATTACAAATTTCCCTATTAAAAAGGGCACCTTCTACTGATGACACAAAATAAAATCTTATTTTTTAACTTGGAATTAAGATATTTTTTTCTGTGAATTTGCAATGCTTCGATTTATTAGCTGCTATAGGTAAATAACTAGAATAACCAAGTGCAGTGAACGGTAAACTTATTTGGCTAGAAACCACTGTGTGTATAATTATGATAATAAATTAAAATATGTTATCAAATACAAGTTTACAGTATCTAGCATTACATCAAACTGTTTTTTATACAGCTAAAATAACTGGAAGCAGCTCACACTGAAAACCTTGAACATTCATAAAATATAACATTCATAAAAAATACTAAAACTAACAAAAAACATGACATTATTAAACATGACAATGCCACTAGACAGCAAAAATACTAGACTTTCCTGCGAAATTTAAAGATCTTTAAATGATACCAGTAAGCGCATTAATTTAACAGAAATAAAATAATAAAACTAAAAATTAAATTAACTTGAAAATCCAAAAATCTGAAAATCTAACAATGATAAAATGCAAAACAAACTAAACTGGAAATCAAATATAAAATAAAGAAGTAAGAATAATTAAATGTTAATTTGTGGATTTTAGATTTTAAATTGTATGTTTGTTATATTTTATTTTACATTTTTGTTACATTTTGCATTATTATTATCACCTTCATCAGTTTATTTTATTTTTATAATACCACATTCAAGGTAAAAATCCACACGCTTATGTATGTCAAATCAAATTTAAGAATGTGCTATGCCCATGCACCCCCCAAAGATGACCCTCTTCTGACCTGGGAGGATAATGTACTTCCCCTTCAGCCAGACCAACTGAAATTCCCTCCCTCCCGCCAAAAGTCCCCACTTGCCTCGTGCCACCTCATAAAATTGGGTTAACACTAGTTTATCAAAACAACTGCAGCCTGGCCCAGACAATAGCAAACAGTCTCCTCTGCAGACTATCACACATTACCATCTGGTCACACACGTGCAAATCCACTTGCAAAACTTGACCTTAGCGAACTAGCAAACATGGAAGGAAAAGACACTTACTTTGTCCAGAGGCCTCTTTAGCTGGTAGTGAAACTTCTCCTTCATCTCGTTCAGCAGCTGTTTGAGTTGCGGCTCCTCCGGTGTGCCCTCATGCTTGCGGCCCAGCTGTAGGTAGCAGGGCCACTTGGCTGAATCGAAACCCCAGTGGCAGGTCCTCTTGTCAGGGGACTTGTGTGAGTGCATTACAAAGTTCTGTGGGGAAAACAGCAGCTGACATTCCATGCACTGAATACAAGGAGCGTCCGGCTGGATGTAGAATTGGGGCACGAACAGGCCTTGGCACTTGCCCAGACACTGGTGCTCAACCTGGAAACTGGCTTCGCTCTCCTTCAGCAGGCCTTGGCCTGGCAGTTTGCTGTTGGGGTCGGCCGAGAGGGCGGCACCTGGGCGGAGCAGGGCATTGCAGAGGCGTTGGGCATCAGTTAGGGTGATCAGGCCACAGGAAGGTGCGTTGAAAGGCAGGATGCCCAGCACCTTAAGGATGTGCAGCTGCTCGGCATCGCATCGGGAACAGTAAACGTAAAGTTCGTCACATACTGCGTTGATCTGCTGCAGAGAAAAATCTCGCAGCACCGAATTGAGTACCTGTGGCAGACAAAGACGCTTCTCGCCACCTACAACAAAGCAGGAGATGGACTCTCCTTCGAGCAGAGAATGGGTGAGCTCTGTGGAGCTGTCGCAGGGAACCAAGAGCGGGCCACCTCCGAGGACTGGGGGAGACGGTAGGGGAGCCATGCCAGCAGGAGAGGCGCACTCCTGCGCAGATTTTGCTGAGAAGGCAGCAGGACCTCCCAGGGAGCTCTGGCTGCTCAGCGTGAACTGTGCCAGAGTGTGCTTGAGGCCGGCGCTGAGATCTAAAGCCTTGGAAGCCCCGACGACGTGGAATTCTCTTTCCTCAATGTCCATTTCTGAGCTGCCGTTGTCCTCGCGCTCCTTCTTGACCTTCGGGGGCTTGGGGACGCTCTCCAGACTGCGTCGTTTCAGGTGCATCTCCGCCATTACCCGCTTTTTAATGGGTGCATCCTCCAGTCGCTCTCTGTACAGCCGCTTCATGTTGCCTTTGAATGACGTCAGGTCTTTGAAAGGGGTTTTCAGACTCGTTTGAGGGCTGGCCATGTCCGTACACAGATGATTGGTCTTTCTTGGGCGGAAAATATTTAGCTGTTCTTCAAACACGACACCTCTGAGTTGGTCCTTCTTTCCTCACTGTGTTAAAGGTTGCAAATCCTTTTACGTCCAGCTACATGCATGATGGTGACAGAATTAATGATCTGATGTGCTTCCTGTGAAGGAAACAAAAAGAATAAAGTTTAAATTGTTAAAAACATATAGCACTAAACGGCTTAGACAAACATTTAGAAAAACAACGAATCAGAGTGTGAAGCCACACAAATGCGCATGAAAAGAATATGCTGTCAGGGCAATAAAAAGCATCCAGAACAGTTATTGTGTTGGGCACAGTGCTAAACTAGACGACAGAAACATTTTCACCTCATCAGGATAATCTAATTTGAGACCAATCGATCTAAGGACAGTTTCTCGGTGGTTTAGTGCGCTGTTTTTCTCTACTGACAACATGCCGAATCCGTCAACGCGTTAAATGAGTCAATGCACTAATAACGTCGGTTTAACACACAGATAACCAACAGCAACCGTAACTAACAGCGAACAGCCATTTAGTCCTGTCCAACCACAGCAGGCTTGAGATAATATCTAACAACTGTACATAACCACCACTTCTATGAAAAGATCAAATCACATGAGCCATCTGTAATAGAGGAAAACCTGATTGAATGATTTGATCGCAAAAGCCTGACTGACACTGACGGAAACGGAATTTCCGAGCATGAATATGAAGGCAAAATGAGAGATCACAGCCCCAAATCAGCGCATGCCAGTGAGGTTTCGGCTAAAACCAGCACTAAACGCGTTTAATTCGTCATTCACAACATGCGCCTCTGTTCCACGAACGCTAAACGACGAACACATGCATACTGGCCAAATTTAACACGGTACCAAAACTCAAGTTCCTCGAAATTAAACGACATTTTCGACCTGGTTACGCTTTACCATATTTGTGTGACAGCTCGGGTAGACTGACCCTGACCGCAGACGTCGTTTCGTTTCCTCGTAAAATAACCATTTTCCAGAAACACTGACAAAATGCTGTCTATTTTTAACCCTGAGCGGCAGTGTCGATCTTTTTACCCCGCAAGGGCACCGCGGCTCTGTGGCCGCCTCTATCCGTCTCTCCCCTCTCATTCTCTGGGCACAGCTGCGCTGAGCGCCCGCGGTGTGACATTCTCCATCCTCGCGACCGGGAGACCCTCAACATAACTACAGAAAAACCGGCCACATATATTAAATCCCAAATATGTCAAAACGACAGCGAAAGCTTGGATCTTAAACCCATTTCTGTGACTTTACACGGCAGTGAATCATTTGCCAAGCCATTTAACGTTAGACTGACACCTGACCCACCAAAAATGTTAAATAGCTATCGCCACAAATGCGTTTCTTGTCTTTTTTATTTTTAATATTAAAAATACTACACATACTGTTGATCAGGCTGAGGATTTAAATCAAAGACCAGATCATCGGAGCACGACGATGCGTCTCTTGAATATGAACGTTAAGCAATATACGTTCCTTTTAAATGGCACATCAAACACCCTAACCCACCGATTCACACGCTACATTTAACCAACTTACCATGGCTTAATAACAGCACCTAAACCGGTTTTACATCTAAAAGCTGGCTCGCTCGTACAGACAGCTTTAGCAGTGCGGCTAGAACATTTAAACCCTTTAGCACGCGCTAACCGAGCTAACGCTACAAATCCCGGTCCGAGCTCTTAGAACATCACATTACCATTAAAAACCATCAAAAAAGATTTAAAAACACCCAGAAAATCTGCTGAACCGTTCAGTAAATGAACACATTGTATAAGTGAGCTTGTTGTCGCTTTTTTTAAAGGAACTTGCCTCAGGATGATCGCTCCTGGTCCGCTGTCTCTCTCTGTCTGACCGTCTACAACACGCGCATAGACTGAAAGCCTTCAGACAGCGCGAGCGTCACGGCGGATATGTCGCGCGGGCGTGTCTGTCTGTCTGCCGCCCTCCCCCAATGTCTTGTGAAGTTCAGACTTGCAAGACTTCAGGTATAAAGGTATAATTTAATCATTAAAAATTAAATTTTAATGCATGTAGAGGCATCTGTTTTCATAAGGGATCTGGTAGGTAGTTTGTGTTAAGTGACGAATTAATGGAAGATTTGTTTAAACGACGTTTCGAAATAGGCTACATTTACATTTAGTCATTTAGCAGACGCTTTTATCCAAAGCGACTTACAAATGAGGACAATAGAAGCAATCAAAACCAACAAAAGAGCAATAATATGCAAGTGCTATGACAAGTCTTGATTAGCCTAACTATATTAGACTATATGAGCAATAAAAGCCTGATGTACCAAATATGATACACTCAAGAGAAAACACATATGCAGACTTTTTTCATATTTTGTCTAAAGGTTCAATAAACTGTTCCATTTGAAAAAGAAATATTTTTATGACTATTAATTCATATGTCAAGCTTGACCTACATGTCTTGATTATAGCTGTCCTGTCTCTTATAGCTCAACTTCCAGTGTTTTCTTTGTTATAAGTATTTGTATTTTGTTTGTATAAAAAGGGAGATTTTTGTCTACATCGGATTCAGGGACATTCTTTTGGCCTATCATGGGGGAATCGTATGCTAAATTTGAATCACTTTGTGGGATTTGAATCACTTTGTGGGGACAGAAAGGAGTGAATGGAAATTAAAATGTCATTGCAGCCATTTCCCCAGTATGCTATGATTTAGCATGATTTATGATGAATAGTGAAGGGCTGCATGAGCAGATGTCTGCAAATGTTTCACAAATAATGAATCATCTGAAATGTTTCCTTTGAATGAAATTCCTTTCATCTTAAACTTTTTTGTATATGCTTGAGCAATGACTTAACATAAAAACGTGTCTGTGTTATTTTTGTATATTATAATGTTTTATTAATATTTTGAATTAGCCTTTATTTTTATATTTTCAGTTTTCATTTTATTTAATTTTTTTTTGTCATTTTGTTGTGTTTTTGTCATTTTTATTTGTGCTTTTTATTATTTTACTTAGTTTTTTATATCTGTTTATTTAATTTTTTATGTGTATCAATAGTAATTTTATTGCTTCAACCTAAACTTATAATTTATTTGCTGAGGCGACATTTATAATTCTTTTTAGTGTAAGTTTTTCATCTAACATTTATTTAATTTTAATTCAGCTTCATTTCAATTAAAAAGAATGTTTTTGTTGATTTTTTTAGTTTAGACTTAAAATGAAAATACATGTAAACAGATTTTTCATCTTGCGCTGTAGAAGTAGAAGTTTAAAAAGAACATTATCGGATATGATGTCTGAACTGACCTAATTATAAACCACCCAGACATGTTTATGGACATTACTTTGAGTTACTGTTATGCTAGTACAAATGTTGTGGAGGCTTTTGCCAAGGACATTAAGTAATAGAACATTCTCTGTGGCTGAGTAATGGCCTGGAGCCAATCCAGCAGTTTGCTTGGTCCACAGGGCTTCAACCATCCAATGGGCTTCTTTTTTTTCAATGAAGCCACGATGGGGTGCTGGGATCACCTTTGGTATCCATCTCTGTGTGAGCCATTTGTTAGGTGTCATTTAAATGTTAAAGAGAGGCAGAGCTATGAGGGCCTGAATTCAACAGCCCATTCACAAACACCAACTGCATTAACACTTTTAAAGGCTTCTCCGCCACACTGACCCAGGTCATGTTCAGGCAAGATGGGTTTGTGAAGATTTGAATAGTTTTGATGTGCTTAGAGGTGTTGTGTTTTTGTTTAGACTGAATACTCACACAAAAGAGCAAGAAGTTACATTGACACCTGCCTTGGAAAATCTAACATTTAAGAACTTAAAAAGTGTTTTTTTGCATTTATAATAACAGAATAACACCAAAAGTCTGATCTGAACCATGCGGCTTGTGGATTTTAGCAGTATTTTAGCGGAAGAGGAATATTATTACATTAATTTGGGTAATTACCATGAAATTTAAGCAATGACAACAAGACTCTGCAACTATACCTCATCAAAAACAATTTTAATACTTTTTAAAATAATTTTAGATTTACTGTATGTATATATAGTGCCGTTTTAATAAATTATTTGTGACACAGTACAGATACTTTCATGGATATGTATTGGTGTTAATTCATTAATTAATTAATTTTCAGTAAAGTAAATAACATTTTATTTAATAAACATATACTGTACATAAAATATATACATTTATAATACTAATTACTGTGTGTGTGTGTGTGTGTATATATATATATATATATATATATTACTAAATAAAAATACTAAATTCCCTTTTTTAAATAAATAACATTTTATTAATATTTTAACACCAAAACATGAAAAACATACATTTATAAAGCATATATTTTTAAAATGTGTATATATATATATAAATATACACACACACACACAACAACAACAACAACACACATATGCTTCTGTGTATATACTACTAAATAAACATACTATTTTTATTATATAAATATATTTTATTTTATTTTATATAAATATAAAAAAAAGTTTGGTCTAAAATCTTTGAAAAAAAAAAAAACATGTTACTTGTCAATAACCCACTTTTATCCCTGCTAACTGTGATCTGAACATGACTGACATCTTTTGCTAGTTGGGTATAAACACATTTTTTATGAGATCAATGTCACCAGTCTGTGTGAGGTTTGATGCACCAATGATCAAGGCCATTTCAGCGGCGTTTTCACCAGTCGCTGCAGATAGCAAGGTCAGCAGATGTATTATGAAAGCAGGTGCGGCCACACACACAGTGTGCTGTGCCTGAACTCCACACAGCGCATTGATTTTTTTTCCAGAGGGTAATAACATCATCCCGGTATTGTGAGGAGTAATTTAAACTTAATATGGGTAATTACTCTCCAATAGCTGATAGTTCATTTAAAGCTTGACATAATGCTGGTTGCGTGCAGGAGAATGAAGGATAAAGAATGCCAGGAAAATGGATTAAGCGCTGATGGGCCACACAGTTAGTCAGGCAGCTGTCTTCATTACAGACTATGGGACTAAGCCCTAAGCACCCCCTGAGGACGTATAGCTTCAGAGAAAATCTATGTAGAAATGCATCATCAGACAGCAAGACAAACAAACGCTTATCGCCAGCACTACTG